AATAATTGATGTCTTCATAATATTGAGTCACCTTAATGAAGACGGCATAAGCCTTAATTTATATAGTACTTTATTCTCTGCTTGTCTCTGAATGTCTCTTTTTCTCATGTGTGCATGTTCATGTGTGTGCACATGCCAGTGTGTGTGCTTGTGCCCATGTGTATGCATGTGTCCATGTGTGTGCATGTTCAGGTGTGTGCTTGTGCCCATATATGTGCACATGCCAGTGTGTGTGCATGTTCATGTGTGTGTGCATGTTCCCATATGTGTGCATGTGCTCATGTGTATGCACATGCCAGGGTGCATGTTCATGTGTGTACACATACCCATGTGTGTGCCTGTGCCTGTGCTGGTGTGTGCATACTCATGTGTGTGCATGTTTGTGTGTGTGTGCATGTTCATGTTGGTGCATGTGTCCATGTGTGTGCATATGCTTATATATGTGCCTGTGCCTGTGTGTGCAACTGCCCATGTATGCACAGGTGCTTGTGTGTATACATGCATGTGGAGGTCAGGAGACAACTTTGTGTTCTTCCTCAGGCACTGTGCAGTTTTCTTTATGAAGCAGGGTCTCTCTGGCTTGGAGTTCACCAATTAGGCCAGGCTGGCTCCAGCAAGCCTTGAATCACTAGCCTCATCAATTACACCAGGCTGTCTGGCTGACCTGCAGGATCAGCCAGCTAAATCCAACACTGGGTTTACCAGCACAACTGTGAGTTTGGGGGCTTGAACTCAGATCCTCATACATGCAAGGCAAGCCCTATATCAACTGAGCCATCTCCCCATGCCCAGTTTTTTTGTTCTTTACTGAAGTTTTAGCATTTTTATAACAGGAGGATTGATCTTTAGTAAAACTTCATTTTCCCCTTTATGCTGAACCTATACCTCTCATGAGAAGTTAATTCCCAGGTGTAGTATTTTTCCTGGAAAATTTCACACTCTTAAAAAGGCAGTTGTTCTTGAACAACGATTTTAACTTTACCCCATTGGCAAATAGAGATAATATATTTAAAAAGCACCACAAAACTTGTCAGTTTTCCCTCCCTTTATTGGAAGTGTTCCATAGATAAGTATTGTAGCCTAGAGCACAGCCATTTTTTCACTTTAACATGCAGCTTCAATACATTTCCATCTGGGCTATTTTTGAATAGAAACTGAGAGACCCGTTTCAATGTGAAATCAATTCTAAATAGAGACAGAATCAACCTCCAGGGTCTGTAGTGAATGTCACAACTATGAGCCAAACAGTCCATTAAATCCTAGAGAAGTACCAGGCTTTACAGATGCAACTGCCACTCACTAGAAGCCATCAGCCACACAGGTGAGCTCAGAGTCACTTAAGATGGGAGATGTGCACAATGGAAAGAACACAGATAATTTGTTTTGCAATGTTTCTGTCTCCCTAATTTTGTGATTAAATATCAAATACATATTGAAGACATAGAAGCAAAGTCATTTTCTTTCTAACATTGTCCTCACCCAAACTTATTCATATATTTAGTTGTTCATTTTCATGTAGTTAAATACTGACAAAGGAAAGTATTCTAGAACTAAATATTGTCTGTTATAGACTTATTTAAATGGCTTTCCCACAAACAAGTCTTTAACTCATAAATTAGTGGATACATTATCTCACCTCTTACTTAAAGAATAAATTCGTGGAAATACTTCTAAGGCTTAGTTTCCAGCTTCTTAGATGTGTCCCAAGTTAATGGTGCTATTCTAATTAATTAATTTTCATAGCCTCTCTATTCTTCAGATTTAGTGCAATAAAGTTTTGTCTGAATTCTCAGAAGCTAGCCAGGGGTGTGCAAACATTGTTTGGGTCATTTTTGTTTTGCTTTGTTTTGTTTTACAGTCATTCTCATGTAATAAAAAGGAAACATTATTTGAAATAGAAATGGAATTTCTGAGGCTATAAAATTTAATAATCTTAGTATACCCCTGGTATGTTATTTAGAGAGATTTTATGTAGCAGAAAAAGTACAGAATGAGATGGAAACCAGTTGCCTTTAATACCTGTGAAACAGATTGAACTCTTGCAAGTTGTTGTTGGAGATGTGTGAAGAGTGTACAGTGCCTTACTGCCTGTCCTTAAATAATTATAATTGCTCTTTTTTTCTTTTCTCATTTGTTTGTTTGTTTGTTTGTTTGTTTTCAAAGCAGGGCTTCCCTGTAGCCCTGGCTGTCCTGGAACTCTCCCTGTAAAACAGGCTGGCCTGTAACTCACAGAGATCAGTCTGCCTCTGCCTCCTGGGTGCTGGGAGTGGAGCAGGTGTGGTCCACCACCACCTGGTTTCAAATGTTGGTTAACTCAGGAATTTTCATTCTAGAATTCCTCCTCATGATTGCAGAAAACCACCAAATGTTACATATTATGTCTAAAGTGTATTCATTATGGTATTTGCTCATTGTAATGAGAAGTTATTATTGTTATTGGAAATGACACGAATGCCCATCATAAAATAATTGGTTGCATAAACTATACATGATGGGAAATTCTACAACCATTACCGGTGATGTACGTCTGCGTTTGCTTGAGCACAGAAAGGATGACAACTGAATGGTATCCACATTATTAAACTGCCATCACTGTGCTGGTTGACTTTTCTATTGTGGTGACCAAACAGCCAGCAAGAAGCAGAGTCTAATGAGATGGTTTACTTTACCGTACAGTTCAAGGGATCCAAGTTCACCATGGCAGGAAAAGCAATGCAGCAGGAGCATGAAGTGCCTGGTCCCATCCTTTCCCTCCTCAGGAAGGAAGGGTGGGGGGGGGGGGAGAGGGAGAGAGGAGGGAGAGGGAAAGAGGAGGGAGAGAGAGGGAAGAGAGACAGAGAAGGAGGGAGGGAGGGAGGGAGGAATGACCCATTGCAGGATACATTTCCCTTGCCATATTTCCTCTCCTAAAAGCTTACATCCTGTAGATCCCACAATCTTCCAAAGCAAAGCCATGATTCCACTGGCAATCACAGGTTCATACACATGAACCTATTGGGGACATTTCATATTTAGATCACGGACGTCAGTTTTGTATAAATTTGACAAATTCTCCTTGACTTAGTTTTCCATGTGTTTATGGGATTCTGTGTCCTCTGCCCTTCTCCAGCCTAGTCCATTGCCTTTCTTCCCTCCAGCTACACTGGGTTATCTTCACTGTTTATACTCGCTCCTCTAGGGAACTCTTTCCAAAAATAAAAATGGTTTTATGAGCATATAAACTAGGGCAATTGGAAAGTTGGTATTTTCAGCCAAGCCTCTTTTCAAACTCCAGGTCCCTTTAGCAAAATGCCTACTCAGTGTTACCACACGTGTTCACATGATCGATTAGCAGACTCAAGGTAGAATTCCCAGTCTCTGCACACTAGCTGAGCTTATGCACAGAATCCGCCAACCCAGTAAATGGCAAGGCCACTTCTAGGTCAGTTGTCCTTAAAGCCAACAGTTTTCTAACAACTACTCCTCTACTGGCAAAAACGATTGCTCCCTAAACCACAGTCACTATTGTCTCAGCTGTGTTGCTGTCAGGGATCCTGATTGCTTTCTGTTTCAACCCTTGCCCATAGAGTCTGTTTTTAATATAGTTTTGTGTGTGTGTGTGTGTGTGTGTGTGTGTGTATGTATTTCTATCATCTATCCATCTATCTATCTATCTGGATCTAGAGATACACACAGGATAGAATGAGTCTCCTTGTCCAGTTATTCTTATTTCTATATTTATTTATTTATATACAGTCTCATTCTGTAGCCTAGGCTTGTGGCCTGAAATTCACTGTGTATACCATGTTTTGCTCAAATGTACAGCAACCCTCCTGCCTCTGCTTAGAAATTATATTTTACTGTATAAGCCAGGTCCTATCTCCCTTCTGTCTAATGTCATCAGTGGGATGTCCTTTCATTCACTTGCCATCAAAAGCAGTCTTCATATGGCCTGTGTACCTGTTGTTCTGTAGTTAGCAGAGGCCTTTCTGGTGTTTACTGAGTTCACAAGGCATATGAGAAAGGCTTTGTGTAAGCTCCAGGGCTTACTCTCTGAACCAGGTCTCCTTATATGATCAGTGGCTGGGATTGTTTTTTAATCTACAGATTCCTTTAAGAACAAGGGTTATTATATTTTCTTAATATGATTCCTAAAACCTGTCTTGTTCCCACTTGGTGACTTCTCTTGCTATTTATTTTTTGTTTTTTAATATTTATTTATTTATTTACTATGCACACAGTGTTTTGCCTGCATGTATGTCTGAAAGAGGGCACCAGATCTCATTATAGATGGTTGTGAGCCACAATGTGGTTTCTGGGAATTGAACTCAGGACCTTTGGAAAACCAACTAATGTTCTCTCTATCCCTTCTTGCTATTTCTTGTCTCTTGAGTCTACGTGACCAGTTTAGGTGACATCTTAACTTATAATTTCTTATGTCAGACACTCACAGAGATATGAGAATAGCCAAGCCATGCTCTCCCAAATAATTTGTAATCTATTAGTGACAAATGGACCTGTTGAAAAAAATGACATAAAATTTTGCAAGTGCTCTAATGAAAGCAAAGCACATGAGGAGGACAGTGGGGAAGTGCTAGGCTACCCAGCATCACTTGCAGGACCAGACAGGGAGCTAAGGAACGGCTGACAGAGAGATCTTGTTATGAATCTTAAAACATTACAGCTACATTGTCTGGACTTGATATGGCTTTTGCTTTATCTTATTATTTTATATTCTTCCGATTTAATTCCTCTATCTGTAAGTGGGCATAATTGCAGCTGGGATTTAGTGAGCTAATCCTTGGAAAGGATTTCTCACATTGCCTTTTGGCCAGTGTTTGGGTGCTGATCATCCTGGGCTACATAAAAGGATTGTTTTAGAAAAAAAAATGAAGTTTTAATGGGTTTAATGGCTTCTTTGTCTTCCCTTGGAAAGATCTCTGTCTCTGTGGTTGATCTGTCTTGCTGCTACCAGTGTAAGCTTATCTTGGTCACTCAATTAGAAGGTTCTTGTATTTCAGGCTTGTCCTTGGTTATCTTTCTGATCCAAGTGAGGACCTTCAGGATCCTGTGAGTGACAAATTCTTCAAGGAGATTTGGGTTTCAACAGCAGCTCGGAATGCTACCATTTATGATAAGGTGAGGTTTACTTACCTGCTGTCACCCCGTCTCTGTCCTTTTTCATTCATTTTCATCACAATTTTATTGAGTCTCAAAGATCAAAGGGCTGGGGATGTAGCTCAGTGGTTGGGTACTTGCCTAGCATGCACAAGGCCCTGGGTCATCATTTAGAAGAGGCCTTAGTGATATCCTGTCCTCCATAGGATGCAGGGCTCTCATCAAAAGCACATGACTAAGCAGCTTTTGATGATGTTTAGTGACAAAGAGAATGTAGGTTAATAGGGTTAGGGTGTGCTCAACTCATCTTGGCTGGTGCCCACTGGAATCTGTGTGCGGCAGCTTGACTCTCTGAGCTTTCCTTTCCTCCCTGTGGTTATTAAAGAGTTAAGTGTTGTTTGATGGTAGAATAGGTTACCTCAGGAAAAAGCCAGATTTGTTGACCATATGTGAGAAGCTGGGTAAGAATTGCCTTCCGTTGGGGTCTCCAAGAGCCCCTTCTGCACAGACATGCCATCTTCTCCATGGGGCTGGACAGTTGTCTACGTTGCTTCATTTCATACTGAGGACTCCAGGTTATTATGAGGAAACTCAAGTGCTGACAGAACATTACAAACTCATTGTACTGCCTGTTCAGCCCCCGAAATAGGGAAGAAAAGAAGAGAAAAGACATTTTGGTCATAATGGGATAAACCTGCATATGGCCCTGTGGAATTGTATCTCTTGGGTACAGGAATGATGCTGACTCTGTGGGTTCCTGTCCTCATTTTCATGTAACTCCTGCATATGCAGGGGTAAAGTGCTGGAGTGTCTGAAACATATTTCTCTTAGCAAAGGGTTGCATGTTAACAACTGTTAACAATGAACTTGTTGACATGCATATCTTTCAAAACTAAAATTCAGAGAACGAGAGTTGGATGTTTCTCCCTTAGACAGGGATCTCTAGTGAAATTCAAGATGGTTATTATTTTTAATGTCCTTCCTAGCAAGCATTCCTTACTGCCAGCTTGTCTTTATTCTGTGGTGTAATGAGCACTATAGATTATGAAGTAAGAGTGTGGGTGTGGACTTTAAAATGGAAACAAGTCTGTCTTTGTAGACAAAAACAACAACTACATGTGCTACATGTGCTTGCATGTGCTGGACATTACAGGCATGTGCCACTATGCCCAGATGTAAACAGTAACCCTTCAGCCTGTGCTTTGACAGAAAATTAATGTTTCATAAACAAAGTTTTTTGCTTGTTGGAATGAACATTTTCCATAAGGAACCTGTGCTTGTTTTTAAATAAATAACTCAATTTCCAATTTGCATTTTTAACAGGTGTTCCGTTGCCTTCCAAATGATGAAGTGCACAATTTAATGCAGTTGAGAGACTTTATAAGCAAGCCCATATTAGCAAAAGATGACCCCATCCGTGCTGAGGAAGAACTGAGAAAGATCCGAGGCTTCTTGGTGCAATTCCCCTTTTATTTCTTATCTGAGGAAAACCTGCTGCCTTCTGTAGGAACTAAAGAAGCAATTGTGCCCATGGAGGTTTGGACTTAAGACAAACTCCTTTGTAACTCAGGGACTTCCAATCTGAAGACTACATTTGCATATGGTGACTTCCCTAAGGACCTCACGGCCAAAGTGAGGTCCAATGAACCCTCGTGACCATCTCACTGGACTCTTTGGAGTAGATGAGGGGACAGTGGTCACATTGGTGTAAGGGCACTTGGCATAAGCATACCTTCAATACTCTTCCTGCCTGGCCTTGAGAAAAGTGGCTATGTTCTTGTTGATGGCATATGCTCAAACAAAATCCATCTCCTGTACTAACACAAATCTGCCTGTAACTGTGAACTGTGATCCAAGTTGCCAAGAGTGCCTGAACTCTCTTGCTCTCCTCTGATGCTCATTTATACAGCTAGGGCCCACCAGGCATGCCCTCATCTTTTTCCATACAGCCCTGTGTAAGAGATTGCTTATCAATGAAAGATGTGGAGAGCTGCTTTGAGAGTCTTCAAGGTTCCAGAGGATGCTGTACCAACTTAGTTCTGACATGAGGGTATTTATTAAGCCAAGAAATTGCTTTTTGTTCCTTTTCAGTTACCGTAGGGACTCACAGGCTTTGCCAAGCTACCCAAACTAGGCACTTCCGAGGACAGCGATGGCATGTCTTAACAACAGGAAGACATTAAATTCCAATACTGAAGAAGAAATTTCCCTTGGTTCCCAAAGATACTGCCAAGCTGTGTCCTTGTCATTGAGCCCATCTGATAAACTCTGTAAACATGTGCAGGGTGTACCAAAACATAGCAACCAGATAAACACACAGAGAATCTCCCAGGTGTCAGTGGGGATCCAGTTCAGTTATATAAGGGACAAGATTCCCCACAGTATGTAGCATCCCTGTTAGCCACCAAGTTGGGAAAAAACTTGGATTGTTTATGGAGAAATCCGGTGGATGTAATTTGTCTTCCAAAAGAACTGGAGGCATTATGAGTCCTTCCAGCTAACAAGCAGGAATCTAACCTTATTTATTTACCCTCTAGTTTTCCCACTATGTCTTCTTTAGGGGGAAAGTAGTTGATTATAAAGATGAGCTACTTTGCTTGCATTGATAACTATACAGTAACATTCCAACATGGCTTCCAAAGAAGTTGCAATAGTAATTCATATTGTCCCAGTCTGAAATGTGCATATCCATTTTCCTTTTCAGATGCTATGGTGTCCTTGATAAACCAAATTTCAGAGTTGTTGCATCCTAGGAGCATCTGTGGGTTCCTGCAACCCTGGGGGTCCTTTGGGATCCTCTTCAAAGCAACTCTTGACTCATGTTTTCATGAACAGATATGCTGGTTTAAAAGATGATACAGGACCACAAAGCCAGTGTTATGGGTTAGTAACAGAGCAACAGTCACATCCAAGGGAGGATGTCACCCCTAGGGAACATTCCACGAATAAGGTGGGATTTGTAATCAACAATGAAAATGAATATGTTTCTATGAATAAATAACTTATTTCTTATATGGCCAAGGATGGTGAGATGATTTCATTTCATAGTTGTAGTGAATAAAACACTTTGCAGATAAAGATAAGACTGCATTTAAAATAATCAATGTGCATAGAATGCCTAAAGATTCATTGTTCTTTATTTTAAAAAATATTTAAAACATAAAAACAGTCAACCAGCTGGTTCTTGATTTTGCACACAATGTTCTCCTAAGATCATAAAGTACCAGCAAGGACCAATAATAAATCATTTACTCTGACCCTTCCCCACTGTATAGATAAGGAAAGTGAGACTTGTGTTAGAGGAAGGGATGATGTAAGATGTGCAATAGACTGCTGTAACCAGTGTCAGCCTCTCTTTACTTCATGGTTACCCTGGACTGAGGACATGAAGCATGCAGACCGGTACTTTATACTGTTATGAACCATGTGATCTGTGTTTATTTGTCTCCACCTACTAGAATGGGAGCTGTACATAGCAGGGACTTCATGGGTTATTTAGCCTTCAGAGCCTGAAACAGAGCCCAATGCAAAGGAGGTGCCAATCAATGTTTGTGGACTGAATATATGGTATAGAAGAGGAGCCAATGAGCTGAAAAAACACACTGAGTTTTAGTGGTTTAGTCCTCCTGCTGGTTTCCATGGCAAGTTTTCCCCACTATATCTTCTCAAAAAGATTTACTTAGAGGGGCCTTGTGGGAAATTCATTGTAATGAATCCCTTCCTGTGGCAACTATTTAGAGTTCAACTGTCTGCCAAGACGCACAGGGCTTGGGCATGAGCTCTACCATGAGCTGATTGCCTATCATTCTTGGACACCACTACTCCCTTCTGAAAGCTACATCATCATATCTGATAGAGACTTGAATAGCTTGTGCCCTGAAAAGCTAGTTCAGACCTGCTCAGCATTTCAGATTGACCACAACCTTTTGAAGTGCCCATCAGCCCTCACCCAATGTCCTGCCAATCTCTGTAACAATCTTTGTTTCAAGAAGCAAAAAAGTCTATAATAAGTGAGGAGTAGAAAATGGTGATGTCCTGAAGGTGCTGCTGTGGATACAGACCAAGCAAGTGGGGTGTGGCAATTCCCTTCAAACCAAGTGTCCTTGAAGTGGGGTGGTCTTAACCCTGAGCCTCAGTGCAGCACAAAGAAATTTAAGGGACTGATTGTGCTTCACATTGTGAAATAAAAATATTTGTTTTTAAAGTGCTTTTCAAAAATGATTTTGTCCACAGGTGGTAAAATTGTGGACAGTTAATTTCTTATGTAAGAACTTAGGAAAATTGTAATATATCATAAATTAACACAGTTGCAAAGTCATTGGGCCAGTATAGTTGGGTGAGTTGATTTTCTGTATGGCAAAGGGTCTGTTGCATAAACATCAGAGTATGGATTTCTGGCACCTGTATGAGAAGACGGGCAGGGTCGCCTTCATTTGAAACCCTAACACTGGTAGGGGGGAGACAAGAGAGTTCCAAGGTTTTTGGCCAGCCAGTCAACTCATTCCGTAAGCTCTAGATTCAGCGAGACCCTTGCAAAATATGAGGCAGAGAGCAAGAGGAAAGACACTCCAATTTTACCTTCTGTGTACACACACATACATGCACATATTCATGTATACATACATGAAGTCTACATTGCTTTTAAATTATTTGAGGTCATCATTTTATCCTGATAGTCTCATACATAGGTGTCATTATACTTGGTTCTCATTTGCTCACCTTCCCCACTGCCCATCCCCTGTCCCCTCTGGCTGGCCCCCATTCTTCCCTAGTGCATTCCATTACCTTCTGTTTCTTCCTAAGAATCTGCAGTTCTCCCTACAGTCATTCTTAATCTCTAATCTGAGCCCCTCTTTTTAAAAAAGATTTTTAATTTAATATATTTTTCTTATTTTACATATCGATCCCAGTTCCCTCTCCCTCCCACGCCTACCTCATAGCTCATATCCCCACCCCCACCCGTCTCATTCCCCTATTAACTCCCCAGGGAGGGTAGGGCCTTCCATGAGGGATCATCAAAGTCTGTCAAATCATTTGGGATAGGGCCTAGCAGCATCTCCTCCCCCGTGTCTCTAGGCTAAGGGAGTATTCCTCCATGGGGAATGTGTTCCCAAAGTCCCTTCAAGCACTGGGGATACATCCTGGTTCCACTGTCAGAGGTCTCTTAGACTAACCAGGCCTTCTAACTGAGATCCATGTTCAGGGTCTTCTGGGTCAGTCCTATGCTGGTTTCCCAGCTATCAATCTGGGGGTCCATGAGCTCCCCATTGTTCAGGTCAGCTGTCTCTGAGGGTTTTTGTAGCCTGGTCTTGACCCCTTTGCTCATCACCCCCTCTCTGCAACTGGATTCCAGGAGTTCAGCTCAGTGTTTACCTGTGGGTGTCTGCTTCTGTTTCCATCAGCTACTGGATGAGGCCTCTATGATGGCATATAAGGTAGTCATCAATCTCGTTATCAGGGTAGGACATTTAAGGTAGCCTCTTCACTATTACTCAGATTGTTAGTTGAGGTCATCCTCGTGGATCTCTGGACATTCCCCTAGTGTGAGATAATCTCTTTAAACCTATAATGACTCCCTCTATTATGGTATCCCTTTTCTTGTTCTTTTCTATACTTCTGATGACTCAATTTTCCTGCTCCCCCATGTTCTTCTCTCCCTCCTCTTCTCCCCTCATCTTTCTCCTAACTTCTAAAAAGGTCAGTTACTCGTAGCAGTTTGTAGATCTGAAGTGATGTGACCCAGCCCTCAACCTTGAAGAGTGTGCTGGAGAAGGTACCCAGGGGGTCTGCCATGGAACAACAACAATAACAAAAAAAAAACAAAACAAAAAAAAAAAAAAACCTGTGACCTGTGTGTGTGTGTTCGTGTACCCATTACCCCATGTAGGATCTCATTCTATTGCCCTCCACTGTTGTTCACTACTTTGTTTTTTAGACAGGGTCTCTGTAGAACTGGAGGCTGCCATTTTGGGTAGGATGGCTGGTCAGTGAGCACCAAAGATCTGCCTGTCTGTGCCTGTACGTCGCCACCTGGCTTTTACATGAGCTTTGAGCATCTGAGCTCAGACCATCACGCTCCCAAAGAAAGCATTCTACCCACTGAGTCACTTCTCAGCCCTGATTTGAGTGAGAAGGGATGCCAAAGAAAGGCAACACCATAACGTGATTTCTGATGATAATTCGGTTTATACATGAGATAGTTCTGCTTCTCGTGTGATGGGAAGAGTTCATTATAACAAGGCAAAGTGGTACACTCCTGTAATTCTAGCTCTTGCCAGGCAGAAGCAGAAGGAACACTCAACTATGCAGTGAGGCCAAGGTCAGCCTGGACTTCATAGGACCAGTCTCAAAAACATAAAACAAAAATCTAAAAGCATCAACCATTTCATAGTTTAATTTAGCTTTAGTTTTACCTTTCCTGTTTTACCATTCATGATTATTAATTTTAAAAGCAATCAAACATTGTATAAAGGGAAATTTGCTGCAACAGTCATTTTAAATTTCAAGTTTTAAAGTCAGATTGGATGGCAGTCCAACCAAACCACAGATTTGATTGCCCTCTGTTTCTAAGCAACAGTCATTTTTCACTTCATTCTAGATAAATGCAGTTCACTGTGTGTTGTTCTAGGCCTGCTGGATTCCAGGAAGCTGAACATCATGTCCTCCCTTTGACTATTCTACTTAAATTAGTCATAGAAGATGGAATGAACCCAAAACACTAATCCAGCAGTGTTTGAAATGCAAAGTTGATGTTCTGCAGCTGGAACACACACATGGTGACACAAAGAGCAAATGCCAAGTGGTAGCGTCAATGGCCCTGTCAGGCCTCTGGTTGAAGGATTGTCAAGTCCAAACTGACCTCCTAGTTTTGATAATTGCCTTTTATTAGAATGATGCCACGCATACTGCCTCACTCACATGCTTACATGACACACAATAAATGTTACCTCTCTTTAGGGAAAGGCTTTCTGTCCTTCTACAGAAGATCAATAGATTCAGGGGACTTTTCATTTTCCCCATCAGCAGAGTTGTCCAGCCTTCCTGTCTCAGGACCCAGAATTTTGAAATGTGTTTGTCTTAGGAATGTAGTCACATACTTTTGGGAACAAGACTCACATGGTTTAGCTTTTGGAAAGATGTGCTTGACTGAACTGAGCTTTTCCAGCTGACCACTTGTAAACAGTGCAACTGGGCATATGTGCAGCTGGACGATTGCACTGGGTTGGGTTTATCTTCTGAGAACTGAAATCAAGGACCACTGTGATCCTGAGTGTGCCTTCCATGGGCCATTGCAAATGATACTAACATCTGGCTTTGGCTTTGGTATGGAACCAGGGATTTATGTACCTTGGCTAGGGTTTTTTTGTTTTTGTTTTTGTTTTTTTTTTATAGAAGCATGCCTTCAGTATACAATTAAAATTTTGATATAATCAGTGTCTGTTTGAAACTTATTTATCATTCTGTGTGGAGATTTTCCAGAACCAGAGTCAATAGGTGTTTCTTAGGGGTGGCACCATATGTCTCTGACATCCTTCTATACACACATGATTGGAGGCCCCAAGGAAGGCCAAGTTTAGAATCACAGCATTCTTTGTAGCACAGACTCCTTCCAAAGGAGGGGGTGCAATGACACAGTGACTAACTCTAACCCTAATTATTTAGTTTATTCTAAAAAATGACCTAATTCTTTAATTTATTCTAAAAGATTAATATGGCATTCAATGATGACACACTGAACAACATCCCATCAAGGTATCGGGGAAAGTTCAGTGAAGAAGTCAGACCCGGGTGCCCACTGCACTCTGTTAGTTTAGCAAATGGAGTGCAGAGCTATTTCAATTTTCAAAATTACAGTGAGCAGAGTAAGAGGCAACTGAATGTTCATAGAGAAAACACCCAAGATTGGAGTTTGAGGAGCACGTTCCTTGAGGACACCAGGGAAGACATAATCACCACCTGCAGTAATAACGGCTACTATGAGGACTTTCTGGGCTACAGCCTCCTCCAAGCACTTCACACTGTCCATGTTGACCTCTTTTCAACTCCCTTACACTTGGAGGTACAGGAATGTCCCCACTGCAAGTTCACTTAATTTCCTTTGAACAAATATGAAGAAATGGAACCTTCATGAAGAGATGATGAAGCCATCAGGGATCTGCCACTGTGAATGGATCGATCCCATTACCAAAGAGCAGGACAGTAGCAACAGGAGTGGACTCATGAAAGCAGAACACATTCAATCCAATTTTCTCTTCCTTTCTCGAGTGAACTCCTAGCCCTTCTGACCTGTCCTAAAGCAGCATACCCTGACCAGACGTTGACATGCATTCCTGGGCTTCCCAAGATCCAACACTGTGGGCTAATTTGTATTGTTTATAAATTTCCCACTCTGTTTCTAGTAGCAGAATGTGGAATAAGATAGCAATCAAATGACAGCAATCTCCAGGTAGAGGGTTCAAGCTGGAAGGAAGGCAGACACAGGTGTTACGAGCACTTTTCTGCCAACCTGGTCCCACAGCCACATCAGCCCCAAATAACACACAGAGATGCTGAATTAGATATAATGCTGTTGGCCTGTAACCAGTGTTTCTTATTGGCTAGCTCTGTCTTAAATATTAACCCATTTCTATTAATCTAAATGTTTCCGTGTGGTCTTGGCTTACCAGAGAAAGGGTCCGGAATTCTGCTCTCTCCATCCTTCATGTTGACTCTCCTACCTACCTCTTCCCAACTCCTGCTTCTCTCCTAGTCCCGCCTATCTTGCTTTCCTATTGGCCAACAATGCTTTATTTTTTAACATCTCCCATCATCTCCTCTTTTCTGTCTAAAAGGAAGGGTTTTAATTTTAACATAATAAAATATATAACAAAACAGTTATCAAATAAGAACCATAGTTAACAATGTTTAGTCCATTAACATTTAGCAAGATTTAAAGAAAATATTTCATCATATATCCTATCTTTGTGAGTCTAAAGTTCTATATGTAACTTATCTTTAATCTTAACTAAGGAAAACTATAACCATAATTATTTGTCTTCAACTCTTTCAAAGACCACAGAAGGATAATATATAAACTCTAGAAATGACAGCGACAACTTGCCTGGTCAGTCACCCAAAGTTCCTCTGTAATGTTCCATCTTTAGCCTATAGGTCATAGTGTGTCTGCCAGACTCCTCAGCAAAGCAGGAAACTTTAAACTGTACA